GTAGCAACGATTTAATGTATTTCTGATTTTTTATATTCAGTGAAGTGCTTCGTGTGATTGATTCACTTCAACTCACTGCCAGGAAAAAAGTTGCAACACCTGTGTCTTGGAAAGTTAGTAATTTTATGTTCTTGGATATAATAAATATATAATTTAGTGACGATACGTATACAACTATTCGTTCTGTGAGAGGCGTTTTTTACACAGAACAAGTGTACGATATTTCAATGAGAGCAAACTAAATCATCCCATATATAGAAAAAAATTCTGATTTCTTTCTTTCTTTTTTCTTTCTTTTCTTTTTCTTTTCTTTTTAATCTAGCGAGGAGGCAACTGCATGGTGTTGCCTTCTATCCCCCAACATGATGCAAGAAGGATGTTTACTAAAGGAATCAAAGAAAAGCAAATGCCATCTGGAAAACGATACATGAGGTTTACCCCTCAACCTTAAAATACAACAGCAATCCTCTTTTGGTTTTGACAACCGTCTTGGCGGCTCATTGACCAAGGATTTATCATTAGTATTATTATGTAACACCGGCGATATGACTGCTGGTCTTTTAACTTGGTATTTTGAATCTATAAAGGGATGAGTTAAAAAAACCTTTATTTTTTATCTTATGTAAATAAAGCAAAAAACCCCGTCTCCAAATCAGCTCATCCTATAATAATCTTTTAGCCTCCTTGGCAGCTTTGTGTCAGTCACTTTAACTTCAGAACTCTTGTGCCCCACTTAAATTGTTTATGTGCAGCTAATGTTATCCCATGCCAGTACTGAGAACAAATCTCGCGCTTTAAAAGTTGAAAATTTAATGTCATGTAAATATGATATAAGTGTCCAAAATTCTGTAAATTTAATAGAAATCATTTACATCAAATTTACAGAATTTTGGGCACTTACATCATATTTACATCATTTACGAACTTTAAAGCGCGCTATTTTTTCCAGTGAAAGCCAATGCATGAAATCGTCCTTTTTAACTCAAAAACAAACATTTCAAGCACTCTCATTGTCCTCTTTCAGGACCCTTTCAAATCTTCTTGAATATACTTAATTCGCCGTAATGCATTATGGGTATACAAAGTGATTGACGATTGATGTATCGTTTCGGCGTCTAAAGAAATTGTCTATTTATCATTATCAAATGGGTGTATAAAGATTAAAAACAAAGTTATGTTGACCTTGTGTTGATCTGCTGTAGCTGTTATTTGCTGGTGCTGAATTTTTTCACGAAGCTGCGTAATTTTCCATGGGTTTGGGCTTCCTTTGCATTTGCAGGCAGTGATAATAATTGACAAGAGAGTGTGATCGACTTTGAAAATTTTAATTGTCCCAGTTATGAGTTCAAATTAAATAACATACAATCAAGTATTTCCATAGAGATAAGCCATGCCTTTACAATAAGTGATGTCTACTAAAATTCAACCCTTCACACAGGAGTTCCAAAACCTAGATTGAACAGTCGGTGTCCCCCCGGACACAACTTTCATAAACTACTTCCTGTTGTGATCGCCACTGGTTCTTCTTTCATCTCCTATAAGGGCCAACAGAGGGCACCTCGATTGAACGTTCTCGAATTTCGAAGACAACAGTCAGAACTTCCTCAAATGTTGCTGAAAGASGAAAATATAGCCAGAAATTCCTTAAAAACTGTTTTCTGTTTGAAATAGTAATTTGATCGMATCTTCGCCTGGTTTGTGATGGATTCTAAGCCGATCCATCTCTGGCTTCTATTGATTTTCATATTAGATCTCTGTATAATGGTTCATGGGGAAAGGTAAGCAGTGGTTTATCATCGTTTACGACAATATGATTTGGAATCTTCGAGGCGTGAACGTCAAACTAATTTCTTACGAGAGACTTGAGTATCAGRGATGCTTCACAATTTCATATCATTTGAAGTAGTAACTTCCACAGACGTGAATTGATGAAGACATATCAACACTGGACACCAATTTACGAAACAAATTTAGTCAACGCTAGGCTGGTCAAAATTAGATACAAATAATCTGTCGTTTCGCTGACAGACCCTGCAGTAACGGAAGCCACGAATTATTTTGCGCGCGTGTTCCGCGCGCGGTTGAATATTGGGATTATCCATGCCAATAAAGAGAATCCCTTGAAAAAGCTAAAACCCCAATAGTTTATGTAACTTGTATTTTCTATCTATTTAGTCCAGGTTACGTGATTCTAGCYCCCAATGTTTTCCATGTTGGGATTGAAGAGAAAGTGTCCGTGACAGTAACCGGAKTACGACATCCAGTCAAAGTGCTTCTCTTTCTACACGATTATCCTGACAGAAAAACAAACTTTTCTCATACTGAAGGACTATTTAAACCTGGTACGGAACATAAGCTGCAAACTCTCTGAAAATCCARCTCATACGTACAATATATTCACTTTTAATAGCTTATTGACTCACAAAAATTATCGACGAAATAGTACATGATGATGCGCAAGGGCTGTGTCTTTCTCCGCACGCCTGGCAAAGTCCACAAAGTCTTACAAACAGTACATTAATCATACATACGTAAAAGAATACCCATATTGAATCACTAAAGAAGTAATCATTTGAAATCTTTTAGGAGAACTTGGCTTTCTAAAACTTAAGGTGAGATATTTAGACTTCGTTATCGCTTACTGAAACGTGCGAGGATTACACTTCCTGTCATTCTTTATTCTAGAAACTGGTGTTATTGCACCTTGACCAATTCAAAGAGCGTTTATTTCCGTCTTTCTAYGTTTATTTCTGAAGTCGTTGCGTTATAAAGCACTATATGAGGCGTATGTAGCTTACGTGTAGCTTACGTTGAGTTTTGCGTAAAGGTTATATGCTATGATGAATGTTCTTTGCGCAAGAGCGTAAGATGATAATTACTGTGGAGTTAGCCTCCCGCACAGACATTGTTTTAATCCACTCTGTGTTTTYGGGGTTCCTGTGCCATTAAAGCCATTACATAGGAATCCCAAGAAAAATAATAAGAATATTACAGAGATGGCTTCTGCTTCGTAAAACTTAGCGTTAAGTTGTTGCACTGATTGTTGTTTTTTTCAGATAGAACCAGAAGACGTCCCTCCTCACGACGACATGGAGCTCGATCAATACGTTTACCTCGTCGCGAAGTGCAATGATTCTCAAATAGTGTTTCATAAGGAAGTTAAAATCCTATTGGAATACAAAGACAAGATGGTGTTTGTACAGACCGATAAGCCTATTTACACACCTTTACAAACAGGTAAATTGTACCGTGCGTACAGTCATTTTGTTATTTCGTTGTTTCGCCAATTCGTCATTCCGCTAATACGTCGTTTTCTGTATWTTGCTGTTTAACACTAATTCATCATTTCGACAGTTTCGCTATTTCGTTGTTTCGCCAATTCGTCATTTCGCTAATACGACATCGTTTCTGTATTTTTCTGTTTCACGAATTCATCATTTCCGTCAGTTTCGTTATTTCGTTGTTTCGCCGTAATTGATACTCGTGTGAGTAGAGGTTAATGCGTGATGATAAAAGTAACAACGACTATAATCAGTCCGATAGTCGGATTGTGAAGTCGTTAATGGACGACACTAGTAAAAGGAAACTAGTTGAGTTGAAGGGATCGAGGGGCGAGATGAACTGGTTCAATTTTAATACAAACAATAATAACAGAAAGAAATCAAGTGGTCCTAATGTACGATTGCTCTTGTCGTTACAGTGAACATTCGAGTTATCCCTTTGGACTTTGCATTGAAGTCTTCTAAAGATAAAGTAAGAACACGTTATATAACCATGCATAGAGGTCTGATTTCAATTAATTCTGGATTCAGAACAACCGGTCTGGGGACGTTTCGACCCACATAACGTTCATAAACGCACGAGTTTCCCAGTTTAATGTACGATTATAGTCCTATTTTTGAAGTGTTTAAAACGTTTTAATTAACATTGCTGTTCTTTTTCTTTTACAATTCTAGATTGACGTTGTAATAAAGGTAATGTGAAAAACTGCAACAACCCCCATATTATATGCTTTATCTCATGGTCTTTTGAGTGGGATTAGAGGTGAGGTTTTAGATATTTATTTCAGAACCCACAAGATGTCATTACTCAGAGATGGAGAAATATTTCCACGGAAACGGGTAGGTTGTATACTTCCTTTGTCTTCTGGATCGAGGTTTTTTTTGTCTTTATATATATTGATAGTTTTTATGAATACCCTAGTTGATTTAATGCATTTTGTTGTAGGATTTATCACAAAGGCGGTGTATCTTGGTGATCATTCAATGATTGGTAACTGGAGCATCGTTGCCACATATGGTTATTTGGTAATACCTATTTCTATTTAGATTTATTTTTAATATTCTGTGAATTGAAGTTTATTAAGTTCATCGCGCTAGTTTTTCTGATTGGATACTAGATGAAAAAACGGCATTTTGTGCTACTACTGAACTGGATTTCTCATTTATAGAAGTCACAAAACACAACAGTTAACTTTGAAGTCAAAGAGTACGGTAAGTTTCAGGAATCATTTAAGACCCGTAAGGTTGTTAATAAGTATAATAGCATTATCTAATAGTATTATTATTAACATTGGTTTGTTTGCTTGTGTACAGTCWTGCCAAAGTTTTCAGTGACTATTCGTGGACCGACCTATATTGTACCATCGACAAAAATCATCCACATCGCTGTGGTTGCAAAGTTTGTATCCAATTAAGTATATCATGCAAACAAAACAGTGCATCAAATTTTGTATCACATACATTATCTAGTAAGGACAAGCCGCCAATGGCAACAAAACTCGAAAATTGATTGTGTAGACGAATACGGAACGAAGTTTACAGGAAAGTGAGTGAVTGACTGAGTGAGTTAGTGAGTGACAAATTCGTCCTCTTCTAATAACTCTTCRATTGCTTCTTCGAGTTAAAAAGGGCGAAAAATGGATTGATGGAGGGATGGTTGGTTGAGTAGAGATAGACGAGTTTTTGTAGGTTTTAAATCAGTGTTTTTGTCTGTTGAGTAAAAGAAAAATTAATGTGCTTTTTAGGTACACATTTGGAAAGCCAGTCAAAGGAGACGTTTTGGTGCGTCTTGCCGTCACGGGAAAAGGACTCGTGGACGTCAAGTTCTTTGCTAAATYTTCACAAGTAATGTCTCCCTTTCTCCAACATAAACTTACAACAAATTTAAACTTTGATATCAAGGATTTCCTATCAAAATATCGTCAAAGAATTAGTTTAAAATTACTTGTTGTCGGTTTGTCACAAAGGCACTATAGCTGAGTTATTCTCGTCTTCAATTTTCTACCACAAAAAAGTAACAAACTGACGAGACTCTGGAATGGGCGMAAAAATAGGTACAAATTGAAATGTTTTCCCCTTTATTAGCTCACAGATGGAAAGTTTATATTCAAAGTTGACGCAAACCTTTTCAAGAAACACGCTCTTTTGCCAAAGTTCCCACGTGGAAGAAGGCTTCTGATCGAGGTTGATGTTGTGGAGCAGGCCACCGGTGTACGTGAAAGTGCTATCGATAATTCGATATACTTCGTGACCACGCCCTACCATGTCAGTCACGAGAACACTGCCAAGTACTTTAAACCCTCGATACCGTTTCAAATAAAGGTAATAAACTTGCGTGTTCTGGACAATATATGGATTTGGATATTGTGGTATTTAGATATTTAGACAATTCTCATAATTTTTGCAAAAGGCTGTAATTATTCATATTTTATAGTATATATATATTTTTATTAATTTATCTATGTAAAGCGCTTTTGATCTTCTAAATGTTAAAGAGCGCTATATAAGTCAATAAATTATTATTATTATTAGGTGAGTAAATAGGAGAGAAATATGAACCCATTATCTTAACTCTTATATGTTTGTATGTAATAAGAGCTTGACGGGTTTTGTCTGGAGTCTCTCTGMCTCACGCTCGATCAGTGGATTACGACTTCAAACCCTTGCTTCTTCAATAGATAGATGTCCACTATCCCAATAACAAGCCAACGTCACATCTAAACATCCAAATCAAAGCAGTTGGCAAAAACAAAGCAGGCAAGGARGTTGACATGYTRGGGAAAGACAATGATAAGAAGAGATCCTTTCTACAAGACAAAACTAAACTAGATGGAAGAGTTGAATTCCCYATAGATGTACAAAGAGATATTGTCTCCATTAATGTACAGGTTAGGCGAAAAATGGAGAATTTTGATATATTTTTCCCTTTCCACACAGTCATTCATAAATTACTTTCGATTATAATATATCAGGTTGAAACTAAAGGTAAAGGCATTCCAGAAAATGAAAACGCAGCAGTAGATTTCACAGTGAAGGCATACAACTCAAAATCKGGGAGCTATCTACATATAGAAACAAAAACTGAAAAGGTAAGACAAATTGAACGCAAGCTCATTTCAGACAAATCGATTCCTTGATCTGTACGATAATATGTTTTTTTAACAGGCAATAGTCGGCTTGATCARTATGATATCAATGATAAAATATGTTATTTTTTTTTCAGGCATTAGTCGGCACAACGTCCACATGGAATATAATCCAGAACAGAAATATATCAGCTCTTAACTTTATGGTAATTAGATAAGAAGGTCTTAAATCATGAAAGACTTATGTGGGGAGCTTGCACTTTGCAAGCATGTCGCCCTACGTTTTGCGCGTACCATTTTTGTGACGAAAGGCCTAGGTTCTCTCATCACTATGTCATTTGTGTTGAGTGACCAACCGTAACCATTCACTTGTAGCAGGCGTTTAATTATTAAATCTAGATATAAGTGAATGGTAATCCGTATAAAATTGATAAAGAAATGAAAGTAATTAAATTTAGAAATTGGGTGACACTGTTTAATTTACCAACAAATGAAACTCGTATGTAAAAATCTTAGCAAAAACGCACGCAAAAAATGTTAGAAATTCACTATCTATTTCCATGAATTTAGACTGATTGACTGAATCATTGACGTCACAATTTATGGTCGTACGCTCATCATTRTACCTTTCTGTTCAATTTTAGGTGATGTCACGTGGTCGAATTCTTACCCAGGGTACGTCACGATACGAGATTGGTTTAAATATAGTCAGCACGATGAAATTTCTCGTTACCATGGAAATGTCTCCTAGATGTCGTGTTCTTGCGTATTACGTCACTAGGGACAATGAGATAGTGGCTGATAGTGCTGTGCTAGAGGTCGAACAACGACTGCCTAATAAGGTAATATATGTAAGTCAAGACAGCCAGAATGAATTCTGAACGCTACGTACTCCAACTAATCCTAATCCAGTACTATAACTAAAACAGCGCGCGCCAARGACAGCAGAAGACTAGACTGAAATATTGACAACTATGAGCTAGAAAATAAAATATATTATACATGCATGTAAAAATTTACTTGAATAGCAAAGCTAAGTRCTGTTTTTCAGGTACAGTTTGATAGAAAAGAACTAAACAATCCACTTCAAAAAACCGAGATTCCTGGGACTCCCTACACAATAAAAGTAAAGACCACGCCTTGGTCACGTGTTGGTCTTATTGGTGTAGATGAGAGTGTTYATTTACTACGGAAGAAGAAGAAACTAACAGCTAAAAAGGTATCTGATCCCGCATATAATCAAACTTTTGAATGCGACGATGTTTCTAGATATACGTAACAGCTTTGTTGTTACCATAATTAATATAGTCTATTTACTATGGCTTTTATTTATTGTAGATATTTAAAGAAGTTAAGGCTCTTGACAGCGGTTGTGGTGTCGGGCCTGGTAAAGATAACAGTGAAGTTTTCGAGGTATTAAAAACTCTTTCAACTATTGATATTTGATTTTTTTCTGTCTCTTTGGATTCGAAAGGGATTTCTTCATTTCTTTTCTCACCCCTATGTGCTCGGCAAAGGAGTGTAATGACCCTAAGAACCGCCCCCTCTCATGCCACCACTCAGAGACGTTCTAGCTTCTATATTAACGTATCGCCTGACATCTTTTTGTGTATGAATACTAGGCCAYTTCGCGCTGAWYTCAATAAACTTTGAAATTTGTGTCTTTTCAGAAATCTGGTTTAATGGTTATTAGCAATACAAAAATATTCACCAAGGACAAAGGAGGTAATATTATATATTTTATAATTCAATATTTTTATAAGAATTTGAAGTAGCTTTGAAATGCGTATTCATCTGTACAAAGTAAATATCAAAGAACGAAGACGTGACACCTTTGGAAACGCAAGCGCGCATGGATTTCCTCCCCTTCTCCTGCAAAAAATCACTGCATGGATCAAATCAGTATTCTTTGCATTTTAATGTACAATTATGATATTGTAGCTTGTTTATATTGAAGGGCTTAGTTGCTCATCTAACTCAGTATCAAAACTGAAGAGGAAAAAGAGATCTCTTTTAACTCAAGGTACATAATTGGACAACATCGATAGTGATTAGCATAATGCTAATTWATGYTAATTAACGATATCTATTYATTCATTATTTTGTTTATTTTTTTCAGAAGAGCAATCGTGTTGCGATCTTAGTATTTACTTTTCCCGCGCGTCCTGCGCATTGCGAGCACGTTTCATGGTAAAGGCCTCCGTGGCCTGCAGAGAAGCGTTTCTCAACTGCTGCAGAATAACATGGGGTGAAAAAGGTAAACAAATGTAATCATTTTAATATTTACAATGTCCAAAGTAATAATTCTATCATATAATAATCCATGAAATACCTATATTTTTCCATTACGTAAAGTTGTTATTTCACTAGTAAAAATAACACATTCGAGTTATCTCTGTATATTGGAGGTAAAATTAAAAGTTATTTTAGAGAGTAATTTGCTTTCACATATATTTATATGGTAAATCGAATATTACATGGTCGCTTGGAGATACGAATTTTATCTTCTTGTGTTGAAAATGCTCTATTTATTGCGATAAAGATTGAGTGATGGAGATGACGAATGGTGATAMTGATGATGATGAATTTCCAATTCTTCCATTTTTCTAGAATCTAAAGTGGAAGTCAGACAAAGACAATTCCAAGAAAGAAACGGAGACTCGTTTGACGACGAAGGCGATATTTCATCTTCTGAGCAAACGCGAAAGTACTTCCCAGAAACCTGGTTATTTCAYGAGCAATTTGCAGGGTACGAATTTATACCATTTGATGAACTACCCTAAAAAGTGTAYTCTCTCGTTTATTGTTCTCTTTAACTATTTCTTATTGTCAGTATCGAATATATCAAATCAGGACTTTAAAGGAGTTTTTACACAAAACTTAAAGGAGCAATTTATACATAAAATAMTGACTAAACGCTTTGAATATGAACCATTATTTTATTGCTACAGACCTGTTTCGTATGGTTTGACTTAGATATGAATTGCATGGACTAAAACAATATTTATCTGTTTTGAAAAGATCAACAGGTGAAATTGTGCTCCCGATTACCCTACCGGACACCATTACGACTTGGGTTCTACAAGCAATGTCTATATCTAATAAAACAGGATTTGGACTGGCTGTACCGTCAMGAATCACAACATTCAAGGAGTTTTTTGTRTCTTTGACGCTGCCATATTCGGTACAAAGAGGCGAGCAACTATCTGTTATTGCTACAGTGTTCAACTATGGTGCTGATGAACACTTGGTTAGTACTAGATATTCCTATATTCCCCGTCCCTCCCTACTCCCTTACAACTTTCTATCCTCACTTTCCTCCTCCTCGTCTACTTCCGTCCCATTTTTCCGTTCTCTCTTCCACTTTCCTCACCCTTCTTTCCTGACTTCTTTCCTTATTCCTCGCCTCCTACCTCCCATTTTTTCTTCCTCTCTCCCTTCCATTCTTCTTTCTTCCATTCTTTCCCTTCTTTTCCTCCTATTGCCATCCCAGAACCTGATCTATTTCAGTATTCATTCATTAATCTTGATTGTTTCTCTTCAATTTCTTCCTATATCTCTTGTACAGTACCAAGTCCGTCTTCTCGGCAGCAGTGGATTTTGTTCTCAAGCTATGCCTGGTGCGCACTCAAGACCAATCGAATTTAGATTGAAAGGCAATGACGTAAAGTCCGTAACATTTCCATTAGTCCCTATTCAACTTGGCAAAGTCCAGATCAGAGTTTCCGTAACACAAAAAGTTTCTAGTGAATTTGATGAATCKTCTTCGACAGACACAGTTTTGAGGGAGCTTCTTGTCGTAGTAGGTTGATACCTTTGACTTTCACCGATTTTATGATAGTCATACACAAATTGAAGCGAYAGGGACGGCGGGAAGGTTTTTGAGCTGCGGGAGGGGGGAGCGTTCCTCATTTCCACCCACCCTCCTCCACACCTGCTAACATAAAGATGTGAAGTTTGATTGGTAGACATCAACCAATCATAGAAGAGTATCTAAGGTTGTTTTTCTCTTTTACTTTTAGCCTGAGGGTGCTGAAAGAAGACTTGTACAATCCTTTGTTTTGGATCCTCAAGGTAATGCGAAAACACATTAAGTATGCTGCAGTGTCGTGACATGGTATATGGGATCAGTTACAGGGGTGGATCTAGACTAGTGCCACTAGTTCCATGGAACTAGTCAAAGTATTTTAAAAGTAAAAGAATTCAATGTTTTCTAAATATATTATCGTCAAAATGCGTTTAAAAACGTATTTTTATAGATTTTTTTAACGATAATTACCACTGCCACAGGGATCCTGTGCAGCATATTCATATGATACAAAATTTGTGCGTTGGGGTAGAGTCCCACGGGAATATTGCTTTCAAATGATATGTTGTCACGCAGTTGCCCCGATATTAGCATATGGCACTGCTCAAACGTGCATCCTATTGGTTTGCACTAGTCAGCTTTGTTTTCTTATGTTTTCTGGCACTAGTCAAAGTCGATTTTCATTGGCTACTTGTATGGCTGGCACTAGTCGGCACTGGTAGGAAAGATCGAGCTAGCGTGACACCAGAATGTATTTCACAAGACACTCGAGAATATTAAACCTATACAGTCAGAATTATAAAACATGGCTTGAAATATAAACCGTGGAGATCCAGCTTGCCAAAAGGTTCGACTTCTTATTTGATTTAGGTGTTTTKTTTAACGATCTTCTGATTAAAAACGATCAAATCACATGTGGAAACCGGCCGACAGCGCGACAGAGTTACAAACTCTGCTGGACGATAACGCGTTTGTATTCCCTGACTTTAGAAGATCCAATCCTGTATTGATAAAGTCGGGCTAAAGAATTTTTCGTGGTTGGCTTTATTCAAAATATCTCGATGGACAACCGTCTTTCAATGCCTCGAAGGTCATTCAAACGGTATAAAATGTCAAACACACAAATACGAAGTATGAGACAAGAAGTAGTGCCTTTCGATCAGCAGCTAGTACGTTGCTAAAGCAACAAATAGCCAATAATAGAGAGATAATCGCGTCATTATTGAAGACTATACCGATTTTTGTGGCCGCAATTATATTCCCCTACACGGCCGAAGAGTCGATAATCCGTAGTGTAATACAGAGTTTCAAAATTTACATGTTTGTAATTACTAAAAAAATCGTAATTTTGCAATTATAGTATATGGGGTATGGTTGGTTTGAAGGATGGCACTAGTCAACAAAAATCCTAGATCCACCCCTGAGTTATCAGTGTTGTTTTGAGATCAGTTGTAATAAAATTCAAGGGATCACTCAAATTCTGGAGGAGTATAGGGATCAAAGTTCTGCCTCATAAATGCGATCATCAGCACCAACAAAATATACCATTCACGACCCTGACATAGATATTTGTACAGATTTCATGAGAAAACAAGTTAATTTTAATTTTTCAATGTTTTTTGTGACGAAACTGAACCGTAACCATAAACTTGTAGCAGGCGTTCCTTGCGAMTTCTTGATATGTTTTTAAAAGTTGAAAAGAGAAAAACTATAGAGAGAAAAAAAAGTAACAACAGCAAAGAAAAAGAGTTAAAGAAAAAGAAAAAAAGGAAGAAGAAAAACAAACAAACGAAAAACAAAAACAAGAAAAAAGAGAAATTCCAGCGGCAGGGCTCGAACTCAGTACTTTCACTTCAATAGAAGACATACATAAGAAATAATGAAAATAAAAAACTAAAAAGATGGGACGATTCCCCCGAGACATTCTATGAAGCTGAGGCGTCAAATCGGCTTACGTTACGGTTAGAGATTTCGGCTCTTCCACGCTATCCCGAGTGAACATAAAACTTAGTCTTAACCAAAAGGCCAGGGAGTGAGGGGGTAGCCGCCCACTAGAGCATACCTTTAGCTACCCTCTTAGACCATCGTACTATGAAGACACTTATATAGATATCTAATATCTAATTGGGGTAGTCTATTCGGTGAAGTTCTATGCTAATATATGACGTCACCAAAATCCTTAGGGAGCAGCGAGCCAATCAGAGCTCAGCCCAGAAATTAGCAAACTATCATTCATTGCACAATCATTCGTCAGTGGATTTATTATTTAAGGGGGGGTGGGGATGGGACTGTGAGATTGTTTGCGGCCGAATACCGATGAACACGGAGTTATGTGAAGGCTTTTAAGGAGCTGTTCAGTTGTCTCTAGCTTTCGTCGGTCACCGATATCATCAGGTAGAAAGTTTTCTAAACAGTATCGTGCAGCCTAAAATTCACTTTTATTCTGCACAATCAACWCCGCAATGCTACTGAAGAACAACTGGTTTTTCAAATATCACAGGAAAAGGTGTATAGTTCTTATATCAGACAGAAATTACTACCAGTATTTGGATAAACAGCGACGACAAAAATCTCTTGAAATTCTTCTAGTGTTGCCAAATAATTGCCGGGATTCAACGGAACCCCTCCGAAAAAACTCCAACATTACACTCGTTTTACAAACGTTTTACATTTTCGTTCTTGATGATGTAAAGTTTAAATAATATAAACATTTTATAGAAGAAAACGTTTGAGAATTTATCATGAGTTTATAAGTCAACAGATCGCGAGAAAGATTTCTTTGACTACAGCTAAATTAAAGCTCCAAGGACTCCATGTCGTGGATAGATATTCCTTTTCCGAATCTTTCAAACTGATCGATATGTTTACTGTAGGCAGGGAAACAGGGCGCCCGGTGCCTCACATCAGGCCCCCATGGGAATAATTAACCATCACAATCAACCATGGCCCCTGGGAATCGCCGCCTGGTGTGTATCCATATAGGAAACTTAATGGTTGATCGCCATGCTTCCAGTTCCTTGTAGAGTGATCGCACATAAACCATGCAACTGTACAAAATCTAAGTAGTATCAATTTGTACTAAAAGTGGGCCTGAAGCAAGACGGTATTGAATGCTTCATTTGTATCAATTCAATTTGATTTGCGTACCGCATGCACTATGTACTAAATACAACTAAATAGAACTATTTAGTTTGTACAGTTGCATCACTCTAGCGGATGCAGCTTATTCAGACAATGTTGATTACTGAAGATAGTGGATTAAATAAAAGAGCTCTGAATACTATTATACCAACACATTTTTTCTCCATTTTTTCGTTCCAGGGGTTTTACGAGATGAAAACCGCAATTTTTCTATTAGCAGCAACACAACTGTRCGGCCAACACTGAAGAATTCAAGTATGTCTAGGGGAGGGGACGGGATTCATTGCACGTTTTCAAGCAGAACTCGTATAAAGGATTTGACGATTATATGACTGTTTTTTCTTACAATTTTATCAATTCACAGGAATTGTACAAGATGGTCATCAAATCGATAACTTAATGCTTACAATACCAAGTAGAGCTATCCCAGGATCCCTTAAGGCCTCTCTCYACCTGACAGGTTTGTTTTATTATAGAAGTTAAACGTTAAATCTTGCATGCGACGAAGTGAATGCAAATGAAATAAAAATGGCACTAAAGAAGTTCACCTTATCAAATGAGAAATTTGACGTTTTATAGTCACCGTTTTCTTCGCCTCACAGGAAATCTTATTGGACCAGTAGTTACCAGTCTCATCAAAGGAGRACTGGAGGACATACTGCGCATGCCCCTAGGATGCGGGGAGCAGAATATGATCTATCTAGCGCCAAATGTCTACGCCCTCGAATACTTGACGAACACCAGACAAGTGACTTCCGAAGTTGAGTCGAGGGCTTATCGATTTATTCAACAAGGTAATTGCGTGCTCTTCATCACGTGACCAAGGGGTTGACTGAAGGGAAGCCTAATCGTTTGACTGGGCTGAGGGAAGCAACTGCACTTGAGGTTAAGTTCTTATCACCTGTGTCTGACCGTTAAAATGACAGTTCCGATAGGAAATATTTCAATTCTAAAAGAACACCTTTCCTTCAGTATATACCGATGAAAAATGAGAGGGAAGCATTCAAGCATTCATTCTGTATTTTTTAGGCTATCAACAAGAGCTGGGGTTTCGACGCAAAGATAAATCGTTCAGTGCATTTGGAGAGACAAGACCAGGAAGCACTTGGTAGGTTAGAATATCTGGTAATTGTTCTGTTGGGCATCCACAATCCTCCCCTCCTATATACTAGTCCATAAGATGTCGCTATTGAACACTTCGTTTCTTGAAATAATTAATTGAAATGTTATTATATTCATCCAGGCTCACAGCGTTTGTAGTCAAAGTATTCAGCGCTGCTATGAGATTTGATGGCATCGCTATAGACGAGAACATGCTCTGTGAATCAACACAATGGTTGCTTAGCAATCAGAGGGCTGACGGAGCTTTTCCAGAAGTTCATGATCTTATTCATAAATCACTCCTTGTAAGTGAAAAAAATCCCAAACAATTCTTAAAATGCAGGCTGAGCAAATTAAATAGAAGAATATGGTTAATAGCGAGATTTTTTTGAGTTTAATTTCATGTATGTATTTCAGGGTGGTGTCCATGGTGATGTTGCCATGACGGCGTTTGTAGTGATGAGTCTACACGAGTCAAAWTGTCATACTCAGGTATAAATACAAAACTAACAACGATGCAAGAATGTTAAAATAGCTTGGCGTGATATGAAAGTAACACTCTTTTTTATTTTGTTTCACTTATTGTAAAGAATCTCAAAGCAGCTATGGCAAAAGCAGTTAAATACCTTGAGAAAGAACTCGACTCCTTGCATAAGGCACATGTGTTAGCAMTCACTACCTACTCTCTCGCTCTTGTTAACAGCCCAATGGGTGCTAAAGCCAACAGAAAGCTCATGTCGATGTCTACTCTTGATAAAGGTATGAGCAAATAAATTATTCAATCTTTGTCGAGAAATGCGCGGCCAAAAGCSACTCAGGATACGACATAAAAGATTCAATTATCTGCAAAGAACATGAAGAAACTATTCCTTCAAGATTGAYCRCCAAAAACATTRTCATATTATTGTTATTTWTCAACTAATACAGATAAAAACACACGCTATTGGAAAATTGGTGGTGACGCCCTTAATGTAGAGACCGCTGGATATGCTTTGTTGGCTCAGCTTTATCTTGGTCGTCTTAAACATGGCGGATCAATTGTCACATGGCTGACGGAACACAGGAATTCAAAGGGAGGGTTTGTCTCGACTCAGGATACCTGTGTTGCTCTTCAAGCCCTTGCKAAGTACAGTGAAARAACAGCMGGTGCTAACATTGACCTCAGCGTTTCAATTTTACCGGAGAACGATGCAAGCTGGAAGAGAACGTTTCACATTGATAGGAGTAAYGCTTTAATACAACGATCTGTCGATGTAAGTTTATGAATCTTCTTGATTAGAAGGCGGTGAAATAGGATAAGAAGTGTTAATTTTACTTGTAACGTCATTGCTGTTCAAGGTTGAATGTGATCATGGATGTAATAAGTTTATGAATCTTTTCGATTGGAGGGCGGGGAAATAGGATAAAAAAGCGTTAATTTCACTTGTTGCTTTGACGCTCTTGCTGTTCAAGTTTTAATGTGATCATGTTTCTCTTTTTAACACTGCTCCACGCAACTTTTTGCGTAACAAAAATAAAAACAGCGTGCGCTTGTTACCAATGAAATAAAACACGTTTTTTGAGCCAATCAGCGCGCGTACAAGAAACAATCTATGCTGCAAGGGAATACCGCTTAGTATCTTGGTTTATTACAATAATGCTAATAGTATAATAACCATTAATAWTATTAATGCTCTTATGACTTCAGATTACTCCCTTTCTTGGTGGCGAGCTCTTCATTGATAGCATTGGGACAGGCGTCAGTCAGTTGCAGGTCAGAAAAAGCTGTAGGCGCTTTTCTAAGATTCTTGTGCCTCRTCCGYGTGGACAWAATTTTRATGTTTYCTTTGTTTGGATATTTTTCTCTCAGATTGAAATTCTTTATAACGTTCCATCATCTAAAAATGAAACGTGTATGTTTGATGTGACGGTCGATGTTAAAGAGCTCTTCAATCARAACGCCATTAATGAAGATATCTTCATCTTTGGACGGTCCKCAAGCAGAAAGAGAAGAGAAATAAGAAGTAGAAAAGGCAGAAAATCTCGGAGAAGAAAATGCAGAAGAAGGAACCGAAAGCGGTGTCGGAAAGATAGAAATAAGAGAAAGAGAAAACGTGGAGGAAAGAAGAAGAAAAACCWTAACAAGAAAGACAAAAAACAAAAAACACAAGGAAAAGCACCAGATACCTTGCTATTAAATGTCTGTACAAGGTTGGTTCACCTATCTTTAGGAGATAGGGTGGGTGCGTAGGCTTGATAAGTATGGAAATCGCCTTACCGCGCGCATTTTATTCATTTAATCTTTCACTTTTACATTTTTCATCCATTCAGTAATGGCAAATATGGCTCCCATGCACTTCTACCTGTAATACAATACCACCATTACAGTACACATCATATTGATATACATGTAGGTAYCGAAGACCAGGAAAATCAGGAATGGCAATAATGGACATTGGAATATTCACAGGATTCGAACCGGACAAAAAATCTCTCATTGAGGTTTGTTCTTTCATAGCTGCAGATATCCCAGTACATACAGATATGGCATATTTCCAGTTGGGGCTAAATAYATACTGTTCTTGCACCAAATGGTACAAAATAGTGAATTAAAAGGGAATACGGATAAATAAACCAAGGATACAATAATTTGCGTGATTCCAATATTTAAGCACATAATGTTTTTCTTTATTTCAGTTACAAGAGAATGTCAGACCAACTGTAGACAGGTTTGAATTCTCTGATCGATCGATAGTCTTATATGTCAAAGAGGTAAGTCTTCATTAGTGATTTTTGATRTAGCTTTCTTGATCCGTCTTTGCCGTCCTCAGCGTCGAGCAGATGARTCATTCATGTCTTTGCACTTTTTAACAACTTTTGCTAAGGCGTAGCGTTGCRTACAGATACGAGAGGGTAGTGCACGGGCACGGGTTCGAATCCCGGAATTTCCTAGATGACGAATCATGATATTTTRTGTTGATACCTTCCTTTTTTACGTTGATTTCATATATTTTTATTACCATTGTTTGCATTAAAAAAAAACATTTGAACTCTCTTTATAGGTTCCCAGTACCAAAGAATTCTGCGCAGCGTTCAAGGTCAACCGTGTRTTTGGAATTGGTGCTGTTCAACCTGTACCAATAAAAGTGTATGACTATTATGAACCAGGTACAAAGAAACTTTTCCCGAATTGTGAGGTCCTGAAATTTGTTCGCTTCAAGGCATGTGTACTGCCTTTTCACAGACAGATTTCTCATCAGTGTCTGTATCTGCTGCTAAAATAATGGACTTCATTTTTGTTATAGAGCGGATTTCGTATGAGTGGGACACGGTTACCGCACGTTACCGAACCTGGCCTGCACAATTTTGGTGAACCAGTGGGGCTCTAGAATTTGGTTACAGTACGATTACGGTCACAGTACAGTACCGTCCGTTTCCCACTCATACGAAATCCGCTCTATTTTTTAATCCGTTGGGATCGCAATGATTTCCGCAAYGAAGGTCGTCAAAATTATGCTAATCTATATATCATGACGTTACTTTTCATAATCACAGGTGATGCCTGCACAAAGTTTTACTCTCCAGATGACAAGAGTGAACTTATCCTCGGCATTTGTAAAGGSGACCAATGCAAATGTACACAAGGTACGAGAGGTGTTTCAGTTGCCATCAGATCATCACTTTCATTATCTCTTTTAAAGGTTCAATGTGATACACTTTAGATTTTTTTAAAAATAGACATCTCCGTTTCATGCAAATGGGCGTCTCTTCCGCTTAATCTCCCATCCCCATGAACATCTAACTMGGAAACGATATATATCCATCTATACCATATTTTTGTACCAATTACTGATTCTGCCGCAATGTTTGAACGAACAATATATTCTTAAACAGATGGCTGTACACCGTGTAATATACTATTTAGTAGTGTCGATGAAATGATGGCAAAGGCCTGCAAAGACCACGAGTTTGGTAAGCAAAGCAAACTTGTACGACAAAGTATTTTCTCTTTCATACACAGAAATTCTGACTACTTTTAAAAGTGAATACTGTCAACTCTCGCCATCCTTCCCGAAAACGTTTTTTGATCATAGATTGGTATCATTTCTTACAGTGATAAAGGGAAAGGTAGTGTTGGTTGATGAAAACAACCAAAACAAAGTTTCCTGGTTGACATACTTTGTTGAAATTCAACAAATCTTCAAACAAGCTGGTGGCAAGGGAAAGATGAGTATTGGTGGAGTCATTGAGTACAAAAAGCGTGCTGGGTGTACATGTCCTGAATTGAATGAAGACCATGAGTACTTAATCATGGGTCAAGAAGAGGGTCTGCAATTGATCTTAAATAAGAACACCGTAGTAATGCCTTGGCAGGCCAGGTCATCCAATGACATCCATGTGTTCCGCAGTTTCAGGGCGAGAATAAACCAAGGCCATTTATGTCCCTAAGATTGGCCCACTTTCAATACCATAGTTTTTTACAAACACAAAGACATCTGTCATTCAATAACTACATTAGAACTTTCTTTTTTAGCTCAATCTCTCATTAGTTTGCTGACAACTGCTTTTCCTAGAAGCCACTTTTGYCAAAGTATACTTTCCCCAATTTGTAGCTTGTTTAGCAATTGAACCCTCAAGAAACGGCAAAAACTGCCCTGAAAACCTTTCTAGACTTTTTATGCAATTATATAGGTGTCATTTCTACAAACAGTAGACTAAGGGGAATTCATTTACACAGCATAAATGTAAAGGTACATTTGGATACAATGATTTCGCAGTATGAGGAGTCTAAATGACATCTGAACATAAAGTATTATAGAAGAAGTCGATGCTTTACTCAATAAATTTAATTCTGTGCATGCAAACACTTGTACATGTTATACACTTGATTTTAATTTAATATTTCAGTTAATTTTTCTAGTTTCATGCATGACGTACATGATGAAATTTGATACAATGAAGTTGATTAAGTGCAGGTCATAAATCTGTTGAACAATTATTAAATAATGGGAAGGGTGACTGCACTAATGCGTGAAACATAAGTAGAGTGTATTCACTAAATCTGTGAAATTGTACAMAATCAAAATAACACAATTTGTACTTATTTGTGTAAAAGAAGCGAACATAAATTGAAGAACCATTGTTTTTAATGAATACCCTTAACTATATTACACCACACAGTGCTAACGAATTGGTACAATTTCACAGATTTAGTGCGTAGTTACTACATGTAATTAGATTATATGAATTACTTTGTTTATTATTCTCAAGACAGCTAATTGCTGTGTTAATGCCAGTAGCTGCAGTTCCAGAGCTGCGTTGTGATCCACTAGGTTGTAAATAAGTGTGCTAACAAGTGCACGGATTTATGACATTCTCCATGCAAGTTTTGTGTCCATGCATATTCTGTACAATGCGAACGTGACGACTTTTTTTCAAACAAATCAACCTTCTTGACATGATAAACACTCATGATATAATCTCAAAGATCTGACTGACAAGCTCGTACTCCTAATAACTTTAGCAGAACAAAGAGGGGAATATGGATGATRGAAAATCCAACCGTTCGAGTTCCTTGAAGTCGTTGACACAGGAAAACTTTATAAACAAGAATTAAGGCGATGGCGCAAGAGCTCCATAATGTTCTYAAAGCTGCTATCTTTCTTTCTCCAGCTAACACAAGTCTGATAAATACAATTGACGARAAGTAAGCTGAACAACCATCACATATAAACAAAGGAATGAATACAGTCCACCAAGACATCGTCGAAGGATGCTCTGCTTTCACGGCCAATAATATCGAAAAAACGAATAASGTGACAATATGAAGCCATAGTTCGAACACTGATATGCCAAGCCATGTTGTGATTTCTTTGATAGTGAGAATCATGCTTTATAAAGCTGCTATCATCGCGTATTTGCTTTTTCCTCTTTCTTGTAGCCACCTCTTTCCGCCATATTTTTCCTTCGCTGAGCCTGAAKTGATTGACGGGATAGAAATGGCTTGACACAGGGTACCCAGAATATATAGTACACTAAAAACTTACCTTAGCACTACAACTCACTTTATTTGATTCAAAAAACGTAAGCAAATGGGGGAATGTTGTACAAAGATATTCAAAAAATATAGTTTTCCCAAATCTGATGAAAAGAATCAGAAATATTTCTTCTGTACAATCTTTCATGTCGGGCTTCCTTTGGAATTCCAAGTCGAGGCTGAGCGCCATCTTTGAAATGGCGGCGAGCTTGCTGTCAAATGTATTTGACGTTCTTTGAACAATTTCTTTATGAARCAAGGTAGAAATACTTAATKTCAACATGGCTTTTAAAGCAGCAAAACCYAATGGAAATTCTGAATGGATTTCTCCTCACAAACTCTCTCTTTTGGTGCTCATAAAAGCACTGTGTCGAAAAGACAAGGACGACGATATGTATTCAGAATGCATTGCAAGATGTCGGCAAAATTTGTCCTTGTTCATGCTGGAGATATTACAGGTATTACAGTTTACTGTGTATCTTTAAAAGGTATTTGCATGTGTCCTAGTGCGTTCGTGGGCTCTAACACAAACATGTAAATTGATGGCTCTCTTTAGGTTCCTGATGTTGAACTAAGGGAATTATGTCAAAGACTGCAAAGCATTGATAGCGAACAAGAATTAGACAACGCGCTATTACATTGGTAAATTGTATTATTAATAATTATATTTTATATTAATGGTTCGCCGATGAGACTGTTCGCCGAACCCACTTTCGCCGAATAGTCGGGAATGTTCGCCGATGTGTTATGTTCAGTTCGCCGACAAGTCAAAAGTACTACATACGTGGAATGGAACAAACCCCCCCTCCCTCCAGATACAATTTTTTATTCAGTAATTGAATCTTCAGTCTATACATTCATTTATTTTTTCATTTATTTTTATTTTTCATTTTTTCATAAATCAAATAATTACTTAAGTTTAATTTATTCAATTAATGCAAATAAAATATTGTTGGTGTTTAGTAAAATATTTACTAATGATTAATCAATTCCTTTAATTAGGTTACAAGAGATCAATGCTGAAGGTGTATCAAGTCTTATTGACTTCTTCCAGTCTTTAGAAGACTTTTTCTCTGGCAAAGAACCAGCATTGCAGAAAACAAGTTTATTTGGTAGGCACATGCAATAAAAAGGGTCACACTTGTTTATCTACCTGCTCACATTGCTGTTTATTRTTAATAGGTCTATTTGTCAGGAGAATGAGTCTACTYTTTCACAAAATGACTTTCAATCAAGTCTCTCATTTTCACACACTGTTACAAGAGTACATGGGCTCAATGGAACCCAAGGATAATAGCGATGACAGTATGGAAAGCATGAGGAGTTTTACTATTGACAGTGACCTCAAAGAGTAAGGCAGTATGGATCATGACTGTTTCCCCTTATTATAGTCACAATTAAATCTGATTTCCAATTTTCGGTACAGAGGTTCATTGACCATGAGCAAGYATTGAAGCAAGGAACCCTGAACACAGATCTCTTTTAATGTCAAAAGCCCAATGTTTTTTATGGTTAATGAACCTGTGTCAGTAATATAATATGCATTGAAATCTGCTTGTTGATTGCTCCTTCCGAAGTTTAAAGGCTTAAAAAAATGCACAAAATGTTTATAGGTATCATAAMATTTTCTTTGATTATATCACATTATGATATCATTTTAAAGCAAAATTGCTGAAGTGCACTTTAAGTTTGTACAGTCCTAAGTTCTTACTTTGGAAGACTATTTCTTGTTTGTCTATTGTCCTCCCATAAGAAATCACAAGATTCTTTATGATCAGTGGAGGTGKTTYCACGCCACTTGTTTACATATTTTAGCTAATSCATCATCGATACTCAAATCCTTGTRTCTTATGATTGAAATAGGAAACARGCCTYAGGCAAAATGAAAGCWTCCARCAGACARGCACAGTTTTTCTTAGAGAAACAAGTAAGTTTCCAATATTTTAGGCTGTTTTACTATCTAGAGTCAAGTCCTGTTGTCTGCTCTTTAWGGAGTAATTTCAATTTAAGAGCTGAAACTGTATTGACAATTGACTGTATATATTTTATTTATCGATAGGCATCGCTAATCCAAGGCAATGAGGGAGCCGCACTCTCACCAGTTGAGTTACAGAACAAAATTTCTCAGTTACTGGAAATATCACCAGACATAACAGAAGCAGTAAGAATTCACTTTGAAATGAATTGAATTACTACATAAAACCAGTGTATAGAAGATAAAGATAAAAAAGAATGACAGTTGACTATCACAAAGAAATAAATAAACTGATTTTTACATTAACTGAATACTCCAGTTTCGAGTTCATAGCGAAAAACCGCTGCTTTATTTGACAACAGATTCTCTTGCGCAAAGACCTGACCAAACTCAAAAGAGAGCACGAGAAAGTGTCGTTATTACAATAGCCTTGAAAATTTGCATTTTCCCCGAGTTGAGACTAACCCTGTATTCCCAGAAGGTTCGTACCTTAGGTCTTATGGGAATACAGGGTTAGCCTCAACTCGGGGAAAATGTAAATTGTTAGCGCTATTGTACTAGTTAACAACATTTTCGCATGCTTTCTTTTGTGTTTGGTAGTGTCTTTGCGTAATTGAATCTGCTGTCAAATAAAACAGCGGTTATAAAATTCGCTTGGAATTCGAAAATGGAGTATTATTTATTTCTCATTTCAGCATTTTGTGAGCTACTTGAACTGTTTACGAGTTGATGAGTTCAAACAGGCTTTGGATAGTTTGTACCACTATTTTGACCAACAACAATGGAACACTCCACAATCCAAAATATCTACTGATGGGAATGGAATTGAGGATGAGAAATGTAAACGGTTTAGATATGCAGCTCTCAATTTAGTGGCCCTGCATTGCCACTTTGGACACACGTAAGTTGGCATTTTCGTTTCTCTTTCTGTTATTTTTACATCCATTTCTCTTTTCGGTAATTTTATTATTTGCTTCTCTCTMGTTCATATCCTATTTTTCCTTTCGTCCTTTTATCACTCTACCAACCATCCTGTGACTATGGCCGCTTTCTTTCCTTAATTCCCATCCTCTTTCCCTTCCATTCTCGCTTTCCCTCTTATTCTGCCTGCCTYCTTCCTTCCCATCTTTGAACAATGCTTGTTGTCTAATATTCTGTGCTTTTTATTATCAGATCAGAAGCACTAGCTGCTTTGAGGGAAGCCATTCAAATTGCACAAGAAACTAATGACCATGTTTGCTTGGAGCATTGTCTGGTGAGTTTTCCTCACAAAGAATTATTCAATTTTATTAATAGACTCATCTGTATTCAGATCAGTTTTATTTTGGTGCTATAGAATAGAGGTTTCAGTATTAGCTTGAAACTGTCAGTGCCATTGTAATCTTCTCAAATGTAATTGTATACCTCATAACAGATGATTGTAAACAGGGTATTGATTCCCATTAAAATCTTCATATTCAGGGCTGGCTATATAGACTAGAACAAGAGGGCAGCTCACAAGCAACTGTACTTTTGGACAGATATGTTTCTAGAGCAGYAGAACTCAAATTACCTGTAAGTTAGATTACACCTCAAAATCTTATAGTATCATACAAAGTCATTGATAAAGCAGTTCTTGATTATTTCAGTACTTGACTTCATTGAGYATGCTGACCCATGCTAGACACGATGCAATTATTGGCGTCCCTCCACCAAAGTAAGCTGAATTGATGATTGGTACTCATTAGTTCATTTTGTATTTTTCAAAATGTGTTCCTATTTTTAGGGTATTTCTTGCCATGTCTCATATCAATGTGATCAATTCTCAAAACTCTCTACAAGACCTCACAGCAACAACACATGCTCAACATGCAGCAATATGGCAGTGCTATGGAAAATGGTAAATGGTTTTATTTCTTCTTTGTAAATGAGAGACATTCAACCCACCCTATAATAATAAGTCAATTCAATACATATTTGATACCCTATAATAATAAGTTAATTCCATACACATTCGACACAGAGAGACATTCGACCYACCCTATATATTTTTCTTTTTAAAGTGCTACTTGCATGAAAATGGCCTTATTTCAAAACTTCAAGCAATACAAATATTTATATGACTCATTCATATCTATTAAAAACAATTGCGGGAAAATATTTGTCTTGGAATTATCCCACATCAGAGACATTTTGATTCAAAAGATGGAAGAACAAAAGGATTGAGTAGATGACGTCATCTACTCCAACATTTTTTGMCCAAATTATTAAGGATTTGCATCAATATTCTCTTGAAATCTGTTGCTTCATGATTATCACACCCATATGCATAGGTCTATTTGATTTCCAAGTCTTTTCTAATGTTTTGCAATTTTYGTCCAAGTAGCCCTTTAATGAAATAAAAAGAAAAGATCTTCTAGGCTTATCACTTGAGTTAGAAAACTAAAAGGTTTGACACTGATGTTTTGATGAAAATTTTTTTACATGAAACAGTTTGAGTTTGTAACAACAATGAAGTCAAAACGACATAAACTTGGTGACATTGACTTATTTTGTCAGCAAARTACAATTTAGCCATCTCAATGATAAGCA